AGCTGAGCTTGATGTAGTCCTCAGCAAGATGTTGCAAGTTCCTAATCTGGAGACAGAGGCCAGGGAGAGTGGGCATGGTCTGGAGCCCGGAGCTGGCTATTGCCCACAAGCACAGACACCCTGAGTCAGACCTCCCCACCCACCATCATGGTCAGAGCCTCAGCCTCAGGGAAGTCCGGCTGCCACCTCTCCATAAGTGGCCCTGTAACGGTTGTGCTGAGTGATCCACTTCCCTAGGGTGGGATGGGGTGAAGTGGACCCATCTTGGTCCCATTACACACCATTACACACTGATGCAACCAGATTTCAACACACGCTGCTGAAGAAGCACATTACCCCAGCATGCTGCAATACCTCCTCTGCCTGTGCGTGAGGCTCCGAGTTGGCAAAGGTGGGCATCTCCCACCCCAGCATCTCACTACACTCACCTGCAAGTAGCTTTTTTTTTTTAATATTTATTTTTTTTTTTTTTTTAGTTTTTGGCGGACACAACATCTTTATTTGTATGTGGTGCTGAGGATCGAACCCGGGCCGCACGCATGCCAGGCGAGCGTGCTACCGCTTGAGCCACATCCCCAGCCCTGCAAGTAGCTTTTGACAGGACCTCTTAAGGCCTTTGAGTGGATTTCTTTCCCAGTGCCTTTTACTCCTGGATGGGATATTAGAAAATACAGATGCTTCAGCCTTGCCCCCATCCTAAAGATCTAACTAAATTGATATGGGTTTCCAAAGAAATTTTTTTAATGAAAACTTTTTTTTTTTTTTTGCACAGAGGATTGAACCCAGGGGTGCTTTACCACTGAGCCACATCTCCAGCCCTTTTTTGTATTTTATTTAGAAACAGGGTCTCATTGAGTTGCTAAGTGCCTTGTTCAATTGCCAAGGCTGGCTTTGAATTCACAATCCTCCTGCCTCTGTTGTAGGGACAAACGAGGCAAGGCACTGAAGATAAGTTTTATTTGGCTGCACCAGGTTCAGAGGGCACAGCTTTTGCTGTAATCAGTTAATCCTCTGAGCCCTGAATTCAGGGAGTTTCAGAGTTTTATACCCACCATGTAAGGGGAGGGGCTCAGAAGTTCACAGTCTGCAGAAGTTCACATAAAAGCATCTTTTTCTTTCACTGTTCTGGGCAAATTAACTCTTCCAGGACAACACCTGAGAAGGGGAGAGCCTCTTCTCCCCTTTCTTTCCTCCCCATGCCAGCTGTTACCATGGAGCCCATTTGTAACTTATCTTAAAAGTGTAGACATCTCTGTGAAGCCCAGCTCAAGGCCAGAGGCCTTGTTTGCACGTTTCTTCAAAGTACTATACGGACACGTTTGTGAAAAACTAGTAAGGGGGTATCCAGCACCTGAAGTGCTGGTATCTTCTCGGCCAGTAGCCAAGTAAACAGGGTGACACGAAAATAGGAAGTTTATCTACAATGGACTCTTTTGCTGACAGTCCTAAAATCAGCCATAGTGAAGAGGGCTTTTCTGTGGAGAAAGGAGGTGCCACTTCACCTCAGCCTCACAAGCTGCTGGGATGACAGCCATGGCCAGCATGCCAGCTTAAATAAAAGCTTTATTAAAGGACAGCATACATGTAAAAAAAAAAATTGCGCAAACCATAAGTGTAAAGCTTGGTACATTTTCACAAAGTGAACTTAGGCCAAGTAATCGGCGTCTGGATCAAGAAACAGAAAATGGGGAGCAACCCCTACATGTGCTTCGAGTCACTACCGACTTCCAAGGCTAACCACCAGCGCACTGGTTTCATTAATGAGGTTCTTGGCATAAAAGTTAACTAGTGAGATGGAAATAAACACACAGACTCAGTTACCTTTTTCTATGACCAGGTCCGAGACGGCTCCCCCTCTGGTTCCCACCTCGAACCACCCAGTAGGGCAGCAAGGATTACTCAGGGCTAGCAGGAGAGAGAGAGAGGGAGCACGCCAGGGAGTAGCCTTTTATTGGGGAACAAGAAATTCAGGGGAGAATTCCATCCAATGAAGGTTGAGGGGGGCCGCACTCCAAAGTCAGGGTTAGTGATTGGCCCCAGGGGTCAGTGGTCAGTCACACCCCCACACGGACAGGCTCTCGCACCAGGAGAGGGCTGGGAAAGCTCCGACACAGTTTAGCCAGAGCGCCTCAGACCCAAACCAGGAGTTGCCCAGTCACGTGTGAGAATGGCTCCCCACACTAACCAACAGCCTAGTTTGGTTCAGGCCACTGGTACATGTAGTGTGTGAATGAAGTCTTACAGTAGATACCCTTTTGTCTCTGACTTCTTCCATTCAATGTTATATTTGTGAGATGATTCATCCAAGCCATTGTGGTTGTTCATTCCTTGCTGAGGAGTACACTACTGCTGGACTGTTTCTCCATTTATCTGCCCATTCTACTGTTGATGGATATTTGGATTTTAGTTGCCAGTTTGGAACTATTATGACCACTCTTGCTGTGCACATTCCAAAGTGGATCTTTAGAGAACATGTCTACATTTCTGTTGGGTTTAGACCAAACAGTGGAATTGCTAGACAAGTCTGGTTGTAAGTAGTTCAGCTTTTGTACCTTATGCTAAATAATTTTCCAAAGTGCTGTACCAATTTCCACTCCCTCCAGTAATGCATGAGAGTTCTGATGCCACACATCTTTGCTGACAATTGGTATTTCTTCCTTTTTTTTTCTGTATCAGTCATTCTAGTGGGTGTATAGTGGTGTCACAGTCACAGTGTGGTTTTAGTTTGCATTTTCCTGGTGAGGAATAAAGTTGAGCACCTTTTCATATGTTTATTGGCCATTTAGGTCTTCTTTTTGGAAGTGCCTGTGGAAGTATTTGAATATGAGCACTTTTTAAACTCCTTAGGTAACTCTAATGGAAAACAAAGGTTGAAAACCATTGAACTAAACCACAGTTTAGTATTTGCTGCTTCCTTTTTCAATTTCCTGCCCTTGTGCTTAAAGATGTTTGGATCCAAGTGGACCTCATGGATGTGGAGAAAGATAATCATCTCCCCATGTAAGATGCGCCTCCCAGGAAGAAGCAAGAGTTTGGCATGTTGAGAATCTTTAGGAATGTGGCCTCCACTTTAGAAGGGTCCAGGGAGGGCCTGTGTTGTCCGCAACTACCACAGACATTTCCTGACCACAAAAATGGCTCCTTGTCTGTTCCCTTGGAGCCTCGGGCTATTGTATGGAGGAAGTGGAGGGCCCTATGCCAGGTACTTCCCAGTTTTTTGGCCAGTGAGAATGGGACCCAGCTCATGTGGGAGTTATGGTTAGTCTAGGGACAGGGGAGCATGTGTTCCAGGGACCTAGGTAGTGGAGGGAGGTCTTTGTCCTGAGTGGGAGCATACATGGGTCCAGACTTGGCCAGCTCTTGAATTCTGTGGGTTCACATATGGGTCCCATATTGCACCTGGAGTAGCCTCCTCCATCCTCTGCCCTAGATTGCCCTCCCCACAGGAAACCTTGCTCCAGGACCATCCCTGGCCTCCCCAACCCTTCACTCCTCTGAGATTGGCAGCACTTGAATGAGAGCACAGAGAGGCTCCTAATGACATGTCATCTTAATTGAGTTCCCATTATGTCTTCTGTGCTCGTCACACTCCCACTGCTGGACTGTACCCTCATCCCAGAGATGTGGGGCATTTCTTTGTGCTCCCCCACAGTGAGTAAAGTGCCTTTTGGTAACTCAGTACAGCACCTTCCAACTTGAGAAGGAAGATACAGACCACATATAGACTTGAGCTGTTCAGGCATCGAGCCAAGCTGCCCTCTGGAGGCTCCACATTGGCCCACATGCACATATCAGTCTGCTGAGGAGCTCAATGCAGTGAGTCTGGAGTTGAACCACTGGCTGGAGCTAGAATGCTGGTGCCTGCACTGGGTATGCACTAAGCCTGCCCAGGCAGAACTCCCTGGTGGGTTTCATTGTACGACCCAGAGATCAGTGGGAGGAAGCAACTCATCAGTGCTGTCCTGTGTGCTCCTTGAAAAGAGCAGGGTCCACCTTTTATCCACTGAAGTCCTGCCATATGCATGGCATGAGATAAGGAGAAGGACACACATGGACAAAGTTGATATTTTGGAGGCTGGGGGCACAGAGATACTCTGGGCTCTAGGTTGTGCCATAGCCCATGAATTCAAACTTACCTTGGAAATTCCTCCAAGCAGAGGGCACTCATGTCTGTTAGTCCAACTGCAGGTGCTGAGGTTTTCCTAATTGACCCAAATGGTAGGCTGTAGCAGCCAGTGACCAGCTTGTCGTTTAAACCTGGAATGACAAGAAAAACCCATCTTCCTACCATGCAGGAGAGTTCTAATTCCTTCACATCCTTGCCAACAGTTGGCATTTTCTGTCTTCTCCATGTTGGCCATCAGAGTCCCGTGAAAAGAGAGAAACCTTCCATGAGCCTATATCCCAGCCTCCCCCTTTTCTTCAGGGATTCCACCACTCCACAGCAAACGTGCTGTGTTAATCAGCCTTCCTTCACTGTGACAGAATACCTGAGGAAAAAAACTATTGAAAAGAGGAAAAACTCATTTTGGCTCACAGTTTCAGAAGTTTCACTCCTAAGCTTCATTGCTTTGGGCCTCTGGTGAGGTAGACACCATGGCAGAAGGGCATCATAGAGGAAAGCTGCTCACCTTATGACAGCCAGAAAGTGGGGGGGGGGGGGGGAGAGAAAGTGAGATATCTGGGACAAGACAAACCTTTCCGGGGGCACCCCAGTGACCTTCTTCCCCCTTCCTGGGGACACCCCCAGTGACCTTTTTACCCCCACTGGATCCTACCTCCTAAAGTTTCTGCCATCTCCCAGTAATGCCATCAGCTATGAACCCATCAAGGTATTAATCCACTGATAAGATCAGAGTCTTCATGAGCCACTCACTCCCCAAGAGCCCCACCTATGCTACATTGTGGACCAAGCCTTCAGCATACAAGCTTTGGGGATCATATTTCAGATCCAAACCATAACATGTGTCCTTCCATTTTCTCAACCTGAACCTCCGAAGTCTCCCCCACTGGCTCCTCCTGTGAAGCATCTGACATGCTCCCATCTCCACCGTCTGTGCAGTGCTGTCCTCCAGCCCACCTCACCTGTGGAGTCCATCCAGGCTGCTCTCCTCTCCACGGTCCTCCTCATCAACCACTCATGTATCCAGCAAGTATTTATTCTGCACCTGCCTGTGCTGGGTGTGGTGGAGATTCAGTGTTGAATGAGACCACCAGTCCTGCTTCCATCAAGCTCATAATTAAATAGGGAAGACAGACATCAATATTATCAAATGCTTATGGAACGGCAGTGGTGACATGTGCTGCCACAGTGCAACAGCTTCGTGCCACTTCCTTTCTCTGCACTTGTGCACCTACAAACATCTGCTTGTCCTTCGAGCTCGTATTCTCCCTCATCTGCAATACCTTTCCGACCACCCCCACACACAACAGGGTGCTCTTCTGTTCCCATGGATCTCCACAAAGGCTGAAACCCAGTGGTAGAGACCAGATCACCCTGACTTTGGACCCCTTGCCTGGCCCAGCTCAGTGGAGGTACTCAGGAGTTGAATGAGATTTCCTGCCAACATTGATCCAACCAGTGTGTGAACATTTCTAGGGTCCAAGAATCCATGCTTTCTTCTCTTTCTTATATAGCCTTTAGTTTCTTTTTTCTCATTATAAAAGGGAATGACAAGGTAAATATATTTAATACTGAACTTTATACTTTAACATGGTTAAGATGGCAAATTTTGTGTTATATGTGTTTTACTGCAATTTTTGGAAATGCAAAGAATAAGTACAAAAGGAGAAAGGGGGGTTCTCATATTACTGAGAAAAGACAAAGTATTTGTTAAGATAAAACTGGATTAAAACAAAAGTAATTTGGATTAGGGAAATTCGAATCAAAACCAAAATAAGATACCACTTCATACTCTTATTTAAGGTGGCCATTATAGAGGGAAAAAAAAAAAACAGAAAATGACAAGTGTTGGCAAAGATGAAAAGAAATAGGAAACCTTGTATATTATTGATGGAAATGCAAATTAGTGTGGTAACTGTGGAAAACAGAATAATGGTTCTTCCAAAAATTATCATATGATCCAGTAGTTCTTCTAGGAATGTACCCAAAAGAATTAAAAGCAGGGATTCAAAGATATATTTTATTGTGTTTGTCAACTTTCCATCACTGTAACAAAACATCTGAGGTAATCAACTTAAAGAATAGGTTTATTTTGACTCATAGTTTCATTCCGTGATCATTTGACCCGATTGCCTTTGGTCCTATGGTGAGGCAGTAAGTATATCATGGTGAGACTGTGTGATGGAGGAAGTCACTAAACTCATGGGGGCCAGAAAGCAAAGAGAAAGGTAGAAGCAAGGCAGTGGTCCTAATATCCCCTTCACAGACACACCACCAATAACCTAACCTCCTGAAGGTTTCACTTCCTCCCAATTGTGCCACAGGCTGGGGACCAAACCTTCAACACATGGGCCTTTAGGGGACACTTCATATCCAAATTATAGCATTTGTCCACCAGTATTTGTGGCAGCACAGTCACAATAGCTAAAAAGAAGAAACAACCCAATTGTCCAACAGATGAATGGATAAACAAAATGTGTTTTATGCATACAATGAAATATTATTCAGCCTTAAAAAGGAATAAAATTCTGCTACATGCTACAACTTGGATGAATCTTTGCTAGGAAGTTCAAAATTTCCCTCTGAAGTTTCAAAATAAACGAATCTATTAAAATAAACTAACAATGGACAGATTAACATGAGAAAATTATTAACAAGCTCAAGCATAGATGACTCACAGAAGAATGATTATGCAATAATCCACCAAGTTTTAGAAACTTATGTACTCTTACTTATTTTCTTTTGGTGCTGTAGATTGACCCCAGAGCATTACATATGCTAAGAACATATTGAGCTATACCCTGGTGGTCCCTTATTCCTTTCTCTGTAAGGGAGATAGAAATAGAGGTCATAAGCAATTTAACGGGGTAATAAATTATTTTTAGGGAAGAGAATGAGCCCAGAGAACAAGCAATGACTGGGAAAATGTTCTGTTTGGTTTTCAGTTCTGTGTTTAGTTTAATTACCTTTTATTTTTTAAAAAAAAAAAACTCAGTAAGAAGATTTGAAGACCATTGTGTTCTTGGGTGGATCTGCTCTATAGGTAGATGAGGAAAAAACTTCAGGGAAATCTTTTGCTTGTATTTCCTTCTCTCAAATGCTCTCAGAGGTCCAGAACAGCACATGTTGGGGTATCAATTTCTGAGCCCCAACATCTTGAAGACATTATGCTAAGTGAAGTAAGCCAGACACAAAAAGACAAATAGTGTATGGTTCAATTTATATGAGTTGCTTAGAATAGTCAAACTCACGGAGTCAGAAGGTAGAACAGTGCGAGATAGAAGGAGGAGATTTCAGTTTGGAATGATTAAAAGTTCCTAGAGATGAATGGCGGGGCGCACAACAGCCTCAGAATGGTACACTTAAAAATGGCTAAAATGGTAATGGTTATATGTATTTTACCAAAATTTAAAAAATAATAATGGGGGTATATTGTAAAGATGTTAGAAAGTTTTAGTTTTTTTAATAGTATATTAATTTGCTAATATTTCATTTTATTAGTATATTAGGGGTGAAGAGAAAGTTATTCACCATCACTAGGTAAAGACAGCCTCTGCAAAAATTTCAGTATGTATCTTCCCATTCTTGTTCTCTGTCTAAGGAAGAATGTGTGTGTGTGTGTGTGTGTGTGTGTGCGCGCGCCTGTCTGCCTGTCTGTCTGTCTTCAGATTAGGCCACACTGGACCTATAGGAAGAATCTCCTCACTCTGTGTCCCAATTGTTCCCACTGGTGCTGCTTCATCTCTTATGGCCATCCAGGGCAGGTCTGTCCCGGTTCTGGACATCAGTCCTTTGAATGATTTCTCACAGCTGATCTCACTCCCCTGCACTCCAGGGTTGTGATTCTCTGAAGATGCTCATTTATTTTATGGGTCTAAAAATATGCTACCCAGAGGGACCAGTAATATGTCTAACGGGGTGGAGAGAGGAATGAGGGCCTCTCACACCCTACAGATGCTGCCCGTCTTAGCTATGGCCACCTGAGTCTGTAGCTCTTAGACTCCCTCAGTCTACTTGTCTGAGCTGTGCTAGGCTCAGGTCCCCAGACGCCTGCCTTGGTGCACTTGATTCTTGGACCTGGTCCTGGGCCTCATGTTCTAGGAATGTACCCAAAAGAATTAAAAGTAAAATAGTGTATTCCTGTTAGTTCTGCCTTAGATCCTGCCTCTCCAGCCTGTTAGGAGGCTGTGATCTGTTGCTACAGGGACAGATCACCCCTTATGAGAGGGCTTGGAAAGGAGTGAGGGTTCCTCAGTCTCAGGCTCCTGCTGGGCTCTGTGGACTTGCAACTGCTTTCTCTGTTCCTCCTATGAGAAGTTGTCTCCGACACAGCAGCATGGGTAGGGATAAGCCAGCAGCCAGAAGTATGGCTCCCTCCAGCACAGGAGATCTGTAGGTCATAGGGGCTGTCATGGGCCTTAATCCAGAGCCATGCTGCAGTCTTCACATCCTGTGAGAGTCCCCTCATTTGGGCCCAGCTATGCCCTCCTTCCCCAACTTTGCCACCTAGTCCAGGATCCGGAGCATCACTGATATCATTGGCAGGAAGAAGTGAAGCAAGAGGTCACAGCCACTCAGATGGCCGAACTTCATGTTCATGCCCACTGATTAGGGACCTCCGAGTCCATCCACAGACACATGGCCCTTCTCTCTTGGCTCTGAGGCCTCCACAGAAGGGTTTATTTAATATTGCAGCCAGGATCTTTATAGCCCAGTACTGAGAAGATTATCTTTTTATTGCAACTTTGATTAATGATTGATCAAAAACTGATACTAGAAACACCGAAGAACAAATTTGCCTTAGAGATTAGGAAAGATCTACATCTGCCAGGCTGACTAGGGACCTCTCCACCAGTTCCCTCTCAGATCAAATGAGGGCAGGGGTACATCAGAACTCTCACATGTTTGAGCACACACGCACACACACACAGAAAATAGATTTAAATGTCCTCAAAACCTTTTGGAATTAGGCCTTAAATTATAAATAAATGGAGCAATGGACAAAACAGAAGACCTAGAGAATGTTAATTAATAGAATGTTGCTTTCTTATTTTTGTTCCTGTTAATGTCTTATTAATAGAATCTTGCTTTCTTATTTTTGTTCCTGTTAATATCTGTTATAAGTTAGCAGCTTAAAGGGAAATTTGAGGTGTGAGGAAGAGAGAAGTTTGTGTGAATGCCACAGCCTGAGCTTCCTAGAGACCTTGAGTCCCACAGAGCTGCCATCTGAGATGTGTCCAGCACCAGGCAGGAAAAGGAAGGGGAGGGGATACTGAACAAAAAGGTGGTGTTTGGTGAGCATTTGTCCTGGGGTTAGGCCATGCCTCCAGGGTCTTGGGTTGGTTTGATGGTCTCTGAGGCTGGACTGCCACAGTGGAATGCCCAAGCCAAGTCAGTCACTCAGGGTCCCTAACCCATGTCCTCAGAGACTCCAGACAAGGCATGCACTTTCACTGGGTTCTGCCAGTGCTTGCCCTCTGGGAGCCTCCAGGGAACAGGACACTGGCTTGAACCGTATTTCTGCCTCTTAGTTCCTTTGTGGTGCCCTGGGGCACAATGACAAGTGCCCTGCTTCTAAACTGAAACTGGAAATCACAGCCTCACACCTCTGAATGCTGGGGTTTCTTTTCCATGGGGACAGTCCCTGAGGGAGAAGGATGCCATTCAGTGAGGGCAGTGGGGTGACTGGTCTGCAGCATAGTGTGGGGGTGGCTCAGTGCTGCAGGGCTGGCCGACACACTGTGGGCCCTGACAGGCTGCTCTCTCCAGGAATTGCTAATTTCATTCTCACATTGACAGCTTTTCAGTATTGTAGAAGGGGCCCCAGGCTCTCTGCTAATCGGGGCCCGTTTTGTACAGGCTGCCGTCCCCCCTACATACAGGACTTTGTTGGTGGAAGGACGTGCCACCTCAAACAGTTTGAATTTAACTGAGGATCAAAGATCAAGAACCCTGGGCTCCTTCTCTAGCTCCACCCAATACACACACACATACTTGTTTGTGCTCACCCAGGCCCAAACTAGCAAAGACACTGCTTTGGGGCAGCTTTGACAGTACCCGCAGATTTCCTGAAGAACCTGGAGGGCACAGGGGGAGCAGCCAAGGTCCATCTCCACCTGCCAACTCCGTCCTGTCCCTTGTCTCTGAAGGAGGAAGTCCTCACAGTCCTTAAATTAAGGACTGAAGTCGCACCCTCTCATAGCCCCATGTTTGTGAATTATCTCCATGGTTATTTGCCTAATGTCTGCCTATTATCACTAAACTTCCTTGAGACCCAGGTCTGGTCTGGGTTGTTTGTTGTGTATCTCAGGCCCTGGAGTAGCACCCAATATACAGTAGGTGCTCAAAACCGATACACATCTGATGAGTGAGGACAGGCCTCGAAAGACCAACAGAGAGACAGTGCTCCAGCAGGGGGTCTGCATCCAGGTTCCAGTGTCCAGACCCCATCCCAGCCCTCCAAGCACCCTCACTTGAGGATGCTCAAGAGACATGGACAGATGCTCCAGCTCTGCTGCCCATAGCTCCTCACCCCCAGCCCATGGACTGCCTCGACTATCCCAGTATATACAAGCACTTTCTGAGGGCTGTGGGCTTGTGGGGACAGCCTCCCGTGGCATGGATCTGTATGTACCCTGGTTTTGCCCCCTCCCCACCCACCAGCTACACAGATGAATTTCACATAGCCTCATGTAGATAATCAGGGACACTTGGTTTCCTGGGCCATCAAGACTTTCAGCCTGTGGATTGAGAGGAGACAAACTGGGGTTGGGACGTGACCATGATTTTTAAAGCGGGAGGCAGATGAAGGAGGCTGGCAGATGGTTCTCTGGGAGATGTGGATGGAGGAAGCAATCCTGACTCCCGCTGCCACAGACATTTGTCTTCCCAGGTTCACTTTCTCATCAGCAAATGGGGCTTGTTCTTGTGTGTTCCATGAAAGGTGATCAAACAGAAGATAATATGGCAGACTTTGGAACTGAACTACCTGGATAAACACCCAACTCTGTGATTCGTGGGCTATGTGTGACCTTGAATCAATGACTAAATCTCTTTTTGCCTCTTTCCCCCCCCTTTTTCTGTAAAATGGAAGCAGTTCTAGTGAATTCTGTGAGTGGATTCACATTCCTGACGTGTGGTGAGGACTCATCATTGGCAGCTTTTTTTCCCTTAGCCAGAATCGTGAGGGTCTAATGAGATGATGGGTTCGAGCACAGGTCCCAGACTATCAGTCAGGAACCTGGGAGAGTTTTGTGGATATCATGAAGCTCAGTTTCCCTGCCACATTTGTCTGGGGTGGGACAACCATTTTAGTTATTTAATGTTAGGCTAGAAGATGTACCAAGGGAGGTGACAAACTGAAACCACCAACCGTTTGAGCTGTAGGCTGCATCGAAGCAGATGGTGAGGGCCCCAGGGCCAGCCCACTTCCTCCCTCTCTGCCATGCGTCTCCCTCACACTAGCCGGCTTCCCAAGGCTAGAGGAAGTGGGGCCAGGACCAGGCCCTCAGAGTGTGCAGAGGGAACCTGGGCAGGGGTTGGCAGTTGTCAGGGTAAGAACAGATGCCTCTGAGGTCTTTGCTGGGTCGGAGGGCCACTGTGCAGTAACCCCTCCCCTCTCACATCCACGCCTGCCCAGGACTCCCTTGAGGTTGTAAGCCATTGTCTGAAAGGTGTCCAGCCCAAGAGAGGCAGGCTGGAGAGGAGCAGAGCTGAATCTTTTCTCAGAGGAAATGCAGTTGTGGTTTTGAGACGTTCATATTTCACATCTGTGGTTGGCGTTTCCCAGGGTTCTCCGAGGTGAATGCAGGGTCAGCCCCATGTGGACAAATAAGGTTCACGGTGACCTTAGCAACAGGCTTCACTGCCCATTGGCTGCCACTGCTGCCGCCCGCCAATGGGGCCTCCGGAGGCAGCACTCAAGCTGGGTGACACTTCCACATGTGCAGGGGCCCAGCTCTGTCACAAATCACTGCCTTTGAAGCACCACAGATAGTAAGAGCACTCTGGACAAAGGTGGACGGGGGCAGGGTGGAAAGAGAGGACAGCCCAGGTGCCTGTGTTTCAGAGTCCACCCGACTTGAATGCTCTCATAGCACCCAACCAGCACCCTGGCCTTGGCAGCCTGGTCCCATCTTGCCAGGACAAGCTCTGGCTGTCAACCTTGAACTCCACAATAGTAATCATTTCATTAGTGCTGCCTGTTTTAGTTCCATTCATTTCTCTTTTGTGCCAGGCAGTTTGGCTAAGTACCTTCAACACCTTGTATCTTTTAACTCTCTCAACAACCCTGGGAGTCAGTGAGTCCCATTTTACAGATGCAGAAACTGAGGCTAAAGGAAATAGGTACTAGCCCAAGGTTCTAAGAAGTGGGGAAGCCACAATTTAAACCCAACTGAAACAAGTGTGTATCCCATGCTATTAGCCAGCACACTGCATACACTGTCACCTTGACACCTCTATGGCTCAGTGTCTTCATATTGAGACACGGGGACAATAATACCTGTGCCTCACAGGGTTGGGCGAGGATTGCACAGAGTGATTTATGCCTGGGAACCTAGTGCAAAGTGCTGGATTGTCCAGTTGCACACCTCAGCAACAGCAGCCCTGGTGCCCCACCCACGGCATGCGCCACAAGCAGCTCGCACGTTCTGCTCTCTCACAGAGTGTAATGCTGAAACATTGAGGTTTGTGGACCAGACTTTGCTGTGGCCCTCATATTTGGTTTCCACTTCCTTTTTCTTAACCTTCTCCTACCCCCACCCAACTACATCACAGATGTGGGGAGGCCAGAGAGGAGCCTGCTGCTTGAGGGCTTCAGCCTGCTCAGGGGACAGGGCTGGCTGGGCTGGAGGGGTCGACGTTCTAGGGCCAGAAGGTGGAAGCATCCAGCTGTAAGGGCAGCCATCTGTCATCTCCTCTACCCCAGACCGTGCCAGGAGTTACAGCACTGTTCCCCTGAGAAGCGTTTTCTGGATACGCTGATAAATGATCTGGAAAAGATGGAAACCAGGGGCTGGGGTTGTGGCTCAGTGGTAGCACACTTGCCTGGCACGTGTGAGGCACTGGGTTCGATTCTCAGCACCACATATAAATAAATACATAAAATAAAGGTCTATCAACAACTTGAAAAAATATATATATTTTTTAAAAAGAGAGAAAACACAGATATCTTGTAAGCCAAAATCCCACTCCTCACAATCTGCTCTGTGTGCACCAGCACGAGATAGCACCCAAACACCCATCAGTAGCAAAGAGAACCAGTGAATTGAGCATCAATGGACAAGAGTGCGCCGCGTCCCGTGGCACTAGCCGCGATATTGTGTACTAATACTGTAATGACGAAGGGTTCTCACCAACAGAACGACGAGTAAAAGACTGTAGGTGGTCTAATTCCTTTTGTAAAATCTTTAACAACTGGGCTGGATTCTTAAGCACACTTTTGGAGGAGATCAAATCCCTAAAAAGTACAGGAATGATCACAAATGTCACTTTAGTTTTGGCCGCAGAGGAGAGTTGGGGTTGTGAATAGGAGGGACACATGGGGAGATTTTGAGGTGTTGTCTCTTGACCTGGGTGTGGTTATATAAAGGTTTGCTTTATGATTATGAGTTAAAACCGAACATATGTGATGTATACTTTTCTGCATGATTATTGTTTCACCATAAAAAAAAAGTAAATAAAAAGTATAGGTGCCAGGCACGGTGGCACACTCCTATAATCCCAGCAGCTGGGGAGGCTGAGGCAGGAGGATGGCAGATTCAAAGCCAGCCACAGCAACTTCATGAGGCCCTAAGCAGCTTAGCAAGATACTGTCTCAAAATTAAAAAATAAAATAAAATTTAAAAAGCTGGGGATGTGGCTCAGTGGTTAAGCACTCCTGGGTTCAATCCCCAGTACCAAAAAAAAAAAAAGCATGTGAACATCTTCTAGTTCTGAACAGTGCCATGAATGGACAGGGAGCTCTTCCCCACCCTGTGCCTCTTTGGGGACAGCACTGCAGAGTGCCACTGCTTACTGCACTAAAACTGTCACTGCTGATTGAAGCTAAAGACCACTGTGGAATGCAGAACAGGAGGACATCCTCTGACATGTTACTGCAGTCAGGGAAGATGGGTGGTGTGGGAACAGGAGCTAGGAGAAACCATGGTCAAGACTTGTCCGAACTTCAGGGAACTTGAAGGAGCAGAGGGAATCCTACAAATGACCCTGCCTGAGATGTAGCCCTACTTGCCCCCACATAGTGCCAACTCAGCTGAGTCCCTCTCCTGGGATCCTCTCTTCAGAGATGCCTGTATTTGTTGATTATCCACCCTATGCCTGGTCCCTGCAGAATGCAAGGAAGAGATGGCCTTGAGCAGTGGCCAATGCTGGAAGCTACAGAATGAACCGTGAGGAGTCCAAGGCCACAGGATGAGGTTTTCCGGACTCTCGGCCCTAGGGACCTGGTTCTCTCCATGGGTGCAGACCTTATTTTCTTTATCCTCTTTTCCCTAGGCTGGCATGGGCCTTACCTGTAGTTAACAAGTGCTGGCAAGTAAGTGTGTCGCGTGTGTTGTAGAGAGTAAGGTCCATTAGGATCCTGCTGCACGAGCCACCCCCTGGGGCCCCTGCCTCTCTGGATCTCCCAGTCCCTCACTGGACAGCCCTGGCAACTGGATCCAGCTACCTTAGGGGTGCCCAAGGCGGCTGCCCATGGGCCCTTCTTACACAGTACATCCTGGCAGATGTTAAAGGTGAAACTCCTTTCTCTTCTTCACACTAAATATGACTAATATCCGTAACTCTTCACCCCTGGCCCTCGACATACTGATTATCCAATCTGGAGAGGCACAAAAGTATCTAGATGTGATCTGAATGGGCAGAAACAGGGATGTGGATGGAAATTTGGGGTTTTCTTGCTTGCTTTGGCAGTTGGGGGATTTGAGTTGTAATGCTGATGGCCGCTGGCATGGCCTCAGGCACTGCAGGAAGATTCAGAGTTGCTGCCTATTGCTTCTTTCTTTGGTGTTCTCTTGGCCTTTACATAGGTGCTATTTTGATGTAAAAACCTGCAGCATAGCCCTCAACAGCACTGTTGTTTCTCCTCAATGAGCCTGAAAACTCCCTGAGGCAGCTAGCTGGCGGTAAGCACTCTTTAAATGTTAGCTAGTATTATTTGCTTTGTTATTTTATTATTTGAACAGACAATCATTTATGGCATTTAATGGGCATGTACTATGTGCCAAAAACTGTTAGGTGCAAATACAGCAGTGAACAGAATAGACCTGTCCCTGCCTGCCAGAGCTCCCAGGAAACTCTGAGAAGACTTGTTGATTGAATGATAAACCCTGATTGCACTCACTGTGATTAACACCTCCAAGACCAGACATCTTTGGGTACCTTCTGTATGATCAACTGGGAACACACCTTCAGGTGCTAGAATGTAAGTAGTTGGAGGAGACCATTGTGGGAGTTAAAAAAAAAAAAAAAAACCAACTGCACTTGAGGCTGGGGTTGGGGCTGTAGCTTAGTTCTGCCACAAACCCACTGTGTTACCATGGGTGAGTTCTCGACCTCTCCGAGTCTCAGTTATCTTACCAGTAAAATGGGGCTAACAATGCATCCAGAGGCACAAAAGAATCAAATAAGATCACCATGCTGCACAACTCCAGGGTGTGCTTTTCACATTTTAGTCTACAGAGCTTCTGATGGCCTAGAATTAAATAGCAGCACTTTTGTGCTGTGACCTGAAGTTAACCATCAATAACTGGTCACTATTGTTAAGCACAAGTTGGGGAAAACAGGAGTCACTGCAGGCCAGCAGGCTCCTCATGGCTTGGCCAGGCTTTGTTCTTCAAGGAAGGGCAGGGCTCCGAGAATTGCAGATTATAATGCAGGCAAAGGCCAGGGGGCAGGACTCCCAGGGCAGGTCTGGGAGAAGCAGGCTGGGAAGGGAGGTGGTCAGCAACCTCGAGGCCTGAGTGAGGAGTCTGCCCTGCTCTCCAGGCAAGCATAGGGCACTGGAAGCTGGGTGTGGAGCAGCTTCGATGAGACCAAGCAAGGCACGTGGTTCCATTTTGAGCTGCAAAGGATCAAGAGAACATCTTTTCCAGCATTTTCTCTCCCCAGGCAGACAAAGGCGAGGAAACAGTGAATCTCCAAGGTCACACAGTAAAGACTAGCCCCAGGGCCAGGACCTCTGCATTGGTAGAATCCAGTTAACGTGAGTTTGATCCCAGTCTATAGCCCCCTGGAAGGAAGTCCTATATATATATATATATACACACACACACATTATAAAAGCAATAGGTCATTGTAGAGGATGTTAAACTATAGACATATAAAGAAAAAATATAATCATCTATAATGCCCTATCTAGACATTATCACCATTAGTATTATAATGTATTTCCTCCCTATGTGTTCCATTATATATTATATATTCATTAGGTTGGAATTATTTTGTATATGGTTTCATAACAGAGTGTTTTCTGAGGAGGGACTGTTTTGATGCAGAGGAACTCTAGAAAATCTTTTCCTTAAAAAATAAAAAGTGCAAAACCCCGGTGTGCATGTGTGCATGTGCCGTGGTTGAGAGGACATCCTGCAGGGCTGCAAGGTGGCTCTGTCAAGCATCCGGTGGGTGTGAGCTGCGCCGCCGTGGCTGTGGCCAGCTCCTCTTCTCCCCTGGCCCAGCTACAGCCTCCTGCCTGTGGGCGAGACAATTTTGATGAGTCTGCACTCACCCTTCCTTTTCCAACAGGACGCTGTGATCATCCACTCCACCAGAAGGCACTTAGGGCTCTGATCACCCTTGTTTATCAGTAACAACAGCATCTTATTCCGATAACAACAGCATCTTATTCCGAGCAGCATCTCACCTGAGACTCACACGACCTGTGAGGCAGGTCCGACCAGTGCTGCTGGACCCACTCTACAGATGGAGCAGTCTAGAGGCTTATTAGAGGCCAACCCAACTAGTTAAGTGGCAGAGCAGGGACTTTATGCAAATCCAAATGTGTCCAATTCAGTGAGTTTTCCTTTAAGTGATTTCCTTTATTCCAGCTTTTCCTGAGCCAAATCGGAACCCCTGAGATAGGGAGGCCAGGACTGAGAACGCTGTATTACTGGTGTGTGAAGGGGCCATGGACTCCATCCTGGGGGTCTTTACCCAAGCCCTACAGGCTCTGACTGGCTGTCCTGGGTGGTCTGACCTCATGGCAGCTCATCTGGGATGACTCAGAACCTATATCTGAGTTCTGAGTGAGTTTTGGGGAGCGGGCCCAAGGAGGCCCCGTTTCCTGTAGAAGTGCCCAGCAGGGGCACTATTCCTGGGGACATCCTTCTTGACCCACCCAAGCCACGGAGGTTCTGTTTCCTGCCCAAGGTTCCCTTCCCTCCCGAGCCTCCCAAACCAGAGGAGGTCTTTCCCAGCTGGACTGTGTTACCCTGTGAGGCTGACTCCAACCAAGACACAGGGACTTGGGGCAGCTGTATCACTAGGTGGTTCCCCCATGTGTCCATTTCCTATTGCTGCTATAATGAATCACCCTAAATTTGGTGACTTACACAATACAATTCTGAGGGTCAGAGGTCCAAAACAGGTTTCACTGGGTTAAACTTGAGGTGTCAGCAGGGCTGCGTTCCTTTCTGGAGAAATCTATCACCCATGTCCATCTTTCAGAGGCTGCCTGCATTCCTGGGCCTGTGCCACCTGCTCCATCTTCAAAGCCAGCGATGGCTGGCCAAGTCTTTGACATAATGCCATTCTCTGGTTTCACCCTTGCTGCCTTCCTCTTCCCTATTAGAGACACTTGTGATTACATTGGACCCAGACAGATAATACAGGTTGATCTATTTTAAAGTGAGCTGATTAACAACCTTAATTCCTCATTCCACATAACATGGCATATTCACAAGCTTCATGCACTTGGAGATGGACTTCTTGATTCCACCAGGGACCATTTTGGCCTACCACACCCAGACATGGAGGAGGAGGAAGGCAAGGCTTATGTACCATGCCTGGGGGATCCCAGGGAGCTGAGCCCTTCTCATCCAGGCACCCTGCACTTTTCAGGGGCTAGGGCCAGAGTGCAGTCCCTGAGGACTCGGACACGCAGTCTGAGGCCAGCTCCAGGACTGGAGGGGCATCCAGCCATATACCAGAGCCACTCCAGTGCATCCCTGGCTCCCTCTGATCTCTGGCCCCAGTTCACCTTTCTCGGGTAATAACAGCCTGTCTTGCTCATTTCCTTTCTCCTGTCCTTCTCTGGGCCTTAGGCTGGAACCTCAAAGAGCTCCCAAGGAAGTGAGGCCCCTAAGCCAGACCTCTGTCCCTGGACTGCTTGGTGAGGGCCTGATGGATCTGGGATTCCTGCAGAAGGTTCTGCTGGCAGAACAGAGCGTGGGGGCTGGATAAAGCCTTTCACCCTCAAGTAAGATAACCAGCTGGCCCTGGTTTGCCTAGGACTTCCTCACTTTTTGCAATGCAAGTCCCAAATCCTGGGAAACTCACATTCCTGAGCAGACTGAGACAGTTGGTCACCTTATCTGCAAGGCCTTTTGTACCTGCAAACCTGCTCTGGATCACACCGCACCTTGCATAGCCGGATTCCTGGATGCAAGGGAGACTTGGTAGCTGAGGAAGAACCCTGAGCCAGTGCCGGGACATTCCCATCAGAGTCGCAAGCTGTGTAGACTGTGCCTGTGTCAACAGCACAGAACTCCTAGCCATAGCATGGGAGAGAGTGGAAAGTGCATTTTCACCTGAGCCTCTGAAAATATAGCAACCTGGTCACTTCTGGGTGGTCTATTACGGGTGGCTTTAATAAATATTTTTTATTTCTACCTGTATTTCTTCGTTTTTGTACAACTAAGCCATGTTCCTTTTATTTGTGTATGTTTTCAATAAAAGAAAGTCATTGGTGACTCAGTCCTCCCTCTCCAGTCCTGCTGAGGGACACGGGCCAGTTGTGCTGCATGGTGTGCACACAGTGGCCCTTATTCTGGGGCATTGACCTTGCCTGCTAATTGGTCATGCATATTCTGCCCAGGGCTATACTGCAAGGACAGGGCTAGTTACTCCTTGTACCCCCTTGTCTCTCAGCCTATTCCCCTGAACCCTGGGGCTCCAGCCAGGCTTGTCCCCTAAGGAAGGACTCAGAGCCGAGAAGGTGAACAGGCCAGCAGGAGATGCTCTCAAGTGGGAGAATGCGGAGGAGAGGAGCCATTTGCCCCTGGGGACCCTCAAGTCTGGTTGGAGATATTGGGCACCCTAAAGACCACGTGAGAAGTGAAAGACAGGTGGAAGAGCCCAGCGCCAGATGGTGAGACTGGCTGAGAGCTGCCAGAGGTCAGATAAGGGACGGCCCCAGGGCCACACTGTACAAGTCTTAAAATAGCCAGAAGCTGAAAATGGGGTATCCTTCAGTGCCCTGAAGCAAGACCCTCTACACACTTAGGGGCCCAGAATTCTGGCTGCCTGCCCCTTTATGGCAGAAGGGTGGTGGTGAATAGTTACCAGGATGTTCCAGTCCAGGACATTGGACACCCCTTCAAGTCCCTCTTCCCTGCCCGCTGCCCCCATACTACATTGGAATGCCAGGCCCTAACCCATGCTGTGGCTGTCCCAACCTCTGGACTTCTAGTTCCCTTCCCCATCTCAACAAGCCCAATAGGAGCTCTTGGAGGGGAGCCCTGGGTCCCCAGCAGAGGCAACTACCCTCCATCTCCCACAGGCAGTGTCTGCAGTCCCCACCTCAGTGCACCACTGTCCTGGTGAGGCCAACACAACAGGACTTCTTGCCTGGCTCATAGCTTCAGAAAAGTACTCACAGTTCTGGACTAATGACTCCCCTCCCAATGGAACCCAGATCCCACACACCAACTCTGTGTCCCCGTAACTCCCTCATTCCTTGAATTCAGCTGGCTCAGAGAAGCCAGAGGTCCGGTTTAGAGTAGAAGAACAAGTCGCCTTGCTCTGACAGAAACATGGCTGAAAAGGCCTCTTTGATCCCTAGAGCTGAGACTTGGCAGGCCAGAGTCCTCTGGAGCAGACTTGTGAGGCTCAGCTGCCCCCTGCACAGAGGCCAAGTTGCAAATCTATCTGTGTTACAGCGCCCTAGGGCCCCACCCCCTCGAAACTGCAGGTGGCCTCCTGGGTATAGGTGGGGCATTGCTTCTCTTGAGGGCCAATCCAAACCCCACCCTGTTGGGGCCCCGAAGCCTGTGAACAGCAGAGCCATGTTTTCTGAAGTGTCGGGAGCAGGGCGGGTGTTATCCTGAAGCAGCTCCAGCTTTTGCTATCTTCCTTCAAGGTCCCCAGATGCTTTTATTTTTTATTTTATTTTTTTCCACGCTGGGGATGGAATCCAGGGCCTTGTGATTGCTAGGCAAGCATTCTACCATGGAGATACATCCTCAGTCCACCAGGTATTTTCTTGGCATAAAGGACTAGTGCCCCTTGCCAACTTTTTCGAACTTCCACCCCAAGCCTCAGTTTCCTTCTCTGCAGGCAGCCTGATATTGTGGAACCACCCCAGGTACTGGGCACAGACAGATGTGGGTTGGAATCCAACCTCCATACTGATGAGCTGAGTCATCCTGGGCAAGCCCCTTATGCTTGTTGAGTGTTGGTTTCCTGGTCTGTGAACAGGGATGTGTGTATGGCAAGGAGTGGGGGTGCCAGTGCAATGGTGCATATGGGAGTGTGGCACAGTGCCTGGCACAAAATGGGCACCAGAGTTCTACATTATTATAAAGCCAAATTTTGAGGTCTTTTTTTAGTCATCTCCTTGGGTGAGGAATAGGAAGCTGGGTGACTGCCCCACCCCTTTCATTCAGTTTCCATGTCTTTGCATCATTGACTCCAGGATCTCCCCAGTTGAAATTAAACTCAGTATAGACTCCATAGACCTATCTCACCACTGAACTCACAGAAGTAGGGGTTTCTTTCTTTTGCAACTCTGACCTCAGATGAGCAGTAGAAATGGGTCACTCTGGAGTTGGCTGGATCTAAAAAAAAAACTACCTGGCCATTCATCTAGTCTTTAGACTTAGTCCCACAAGGGAGTTGTGGCTGATAAAGCCAAGTTCCTCCCGGCCAAGTGCTTTTACCCCTGGATAAGGCATGTGCAAGTTCCCCATTCCTTCCCAAGCCTCCTGCCTCTGTGACAGTTGGCAGAAGGGGAAAAATGTTAATGCTGAGTTCCTATGAATTTGACACATCTTGGGTGTGGAGGGTGAGTCCTGCCCAAGAAATGGCATTACATTTAACAGAGAAAAAACATTTTCTTGTGTGCTCCAAAAGAGTGACTTGCAAAAAAAATACATAACCCCTGCTCCACTCCCTGGCATCCCTGAGAGGTTTTTGGGATCTGTACTCAGTGGTCCTAGAGAATGACAGCCTGGGCGTGCCCCAGTTCCACCAACCAGAAGGCATCATTCTGGAGAAAAGAACTCCACCTCCAACCAAGCCCAGGGCTTTTCCCAGAATTTCAGTTCTGTCCTTGGCAGGCTACCTCTGGAGATGTCCAGAGATCTTATCCCTGAAGTCAGAGTGGTCACAACATCCTGCACACAGTTCTCTGAGAAAGCTGATACACCAAGAAGGGATAGTTTGCATATTTGCCTGTAGCTTTCTTCCCATTGCCAAATGAGTTGAATTAACAAACCAGTCCATTTATAGTGACACCTTTGGAGCAAGGCAAGAGAACTCTTATTACTGACCCAGAAATGCCCTTAAACATCTGTAAACTTAGCCCACTGTGGGAGTTTCACCTGGTGTGGCTGAGCCCCACGTGCTAGCTTATCCCATTGGAAAGTGGTTCTTGATGACCATGATGTCATCACAACCCCAAAGAAACAACTTTCAAAGACTGCCTAGCTCCCTCAATCAAGAGCTTCTACCAGGAGTGCTTAGACCAAAACTCTTAGGAATGACCCACAGAAGCATCGGCAAGATCTTAGAATGATCTTAAACTTTCAGGCTCAAATTATAATGTTGTTGCTACATTTCAGGCACTTTGCTAACGATTTACCACCAACAGCCATCACCTTCAGGTAAGCAGTTGGGTCTTATGTATCATATTTGTCTTCTGGGCAAGGGCTAAGGTCCATGGTGGTCTGGTTGTATCCCACACAGCCCCAGGACTTCACTGTCTTGGGAGAGAGGTTGCAGAGTTTGGCAACTCTTCTCTGGACATCCCAAGGTGTTAGTCCCACGAATTGGAGGGCAGCAGGTCTCCATCTTCTTTCTGAAGGTTAGGGACTGATGGGCATAATTCTCTCATTTTGGTAATGTGTAATTGATGAATTTTGCTTGTTAGTACTTGAGAGACTTCAACAGCTGCTGGGACTTCATAATACCCACTGCCTACTCTCCATTAGGGATCAGGACAGAGTAGACAAGGCAGAAGTAGGCACTGATGTTTGTTCTGGGTTACTCTCTCCTTCCTCCCATCACTTCTCAGTCTACTTTATCTGACTTCACAAGCCCAAACCCCACCATCATTACCTAAATGCTACCAGCTAGAAAATCCCAGATAGAAACCACAGGAGGCTGACCAGTCTAGTTCTTCTTGGTAAAGACTGGGTCCTAGAAGAGCTAGAAAAGGCTATCTTGTCCATCACTCTGCCCCCAGGTGAAGATACTCTTGAAAACCCCAAGTGGATTTTCTGATGTGCAGGGCTTACAATGGGGGCCAGTCCAGGCTCCCACGTACACTCACCCAGCAGGAGCTACCACTCACAGCTTCTGAGATCAGAGAATTGTACTTTCTGAGCTCAGCAGAAAATGTGTCAGACTTTGCCCATTTTTCCCATTTACTCATCATTTTCTCATTTAGCCTTCCCTTCCCACCAAGGGCCAACACTCCTTCCAGAGCCTTGGTCCCAGTTATTGATTTCTGGGACTGAGCGTGGAAGATATATCCACATGTATCCATATCCCTAAGCAATGCTATCACTGCCATGACCCTGTTCCCTAGGTGATGCACTCAACTTACCTACTGCTGGGTGCTATTAATGCCCTAGGGCTAGAGACAAGGGAGAGAGATGATTAAAACCCATACCTTCCACCCTCAGACATTTTGTACAATTTGGGCCTGACCTTAAGGGAGAATTATCATATATTAGTGGTTCCCTAACTATAGTTTTCAGAACCACTGCTCTGATCAAGTATATCCCCTTATAAAGATTGTGTGTAATAGCCCAGCCAGAACTCTGGGAAGATATGGAATTTAAAAAATCTGCTTCATGTGAGGCCAGCCAAGGTTTTCCTCATGTATTTGTGTAAGGACCCACTACACTGCAGGACTGGTGTTCAGCACCTATGGAGTGATTGTTGTTGTTGAAATAAGTCTTGAGGGCTGGGGATGTGGCTCAGTGGTAGAGTGCTTGCCTAGCATGTGCACCAGGCCCTGGGTCAATACCCAGCGCATGTACACACACACACACACACACACACACACACACACACACGTAGTTCAGGACTTTTATTAGTCTTGAACTAGCAGGCACATTTTAACTAAATAAAATAACTTGTTCCTGAATGTGTCACTGGCCACATTTAAACTGCTCAACTGGCACACGTGGCTCGTGTAAGTGCCTACAGAATTGAACAGTGTAGAAAGAGTGTTTCTATCACTGTATTAATTGGACAGGAAGTGATGGCCATCACAACACACCTTGGGGACATTTCTTGGGTGGTTGTCTGTTCTGATCATCTGTGATTGTATCATAATAATTGTTGGACATTTGGAGTAGAACTTTGGTGTTCAGCAGGACACATAGTCTATGGCATATACCTTAGAAGAACTAAAAACCTGACATTCCTCATTTCCCAGGAGCCTAGAATTAACTCCCAGCTATGGCTGAAAAGTCATTGGCAAGTAACTACATTTACATGAGCATTCCCTGTGACATGACTGTCCTCCTGCCTGCCATCTCCTCCATGACCATTACTGAAAGGATGCATGATAGATACAAGTCAGTGCTCAACAAACCCAGGCTCAGGCATGGTGCCAATGATGAGTTCCATCAGAATGTTTCCATAAAAAGCAAAACTAACTACAAATTTCTAAATAAAAGGACACATCCCTCATAAACAATTAACTTTTTATAAAAAGACAAATATATACATATTTATAAACATGTCTACATGTGATCTCACATGACTTAATGGCTAGATGGCATTTCCAATTTTAAGTCATACCAAGACGCTCACACTTCCCTGCCTGGACCTGCTGAGAGCTTCCAGGGCCTGAGGGGGGTGGTGGGCACACGGCAAGGCACTGTATAAATAAATGCGAAGGCCAAGAGCTTGGGGAAAACATTAGTGTACACTTCTGATAAGAAATGTGGCAAGGTCCACAAGAAAAAGTGCCATGTCTTTTCCCAAGCCCCTCATCTGAAGTATGAAGCAGGGCAGCACTCCTCTGAGGCTGAGGGACACCACCCTACAGGACCCCAATTTTCCTTCACATTTCACTGGCTTTGGAACAGTCCCCAGGGCTCAACTGGGAAGGGAGGGGGTTCTTTGGGAATAGATTCACTTAGTGCAATTGTCTCTTAGTGCAGAGCCAGCCCTGGAGTTGGCGCTATTCTCTTCTGAGGTCACTGATCTGTTCCCCGCAGGGCCACTCAGTGACAGAGAGACCCTCTCCAGGCAGCTGGGATCACAGAGAAAATATGAAGGCCAACTTCTGTCCAAGTCCACCTGACACACCAATCTCTGAACCTCAACCCCTAATTCTCAGGAGGCAGGGCCAGCTTTACAGCACAAGGCAAACCCAGACCCTGGCCTGCCAGGTCCTCTGAGAGTCCACTGACCCAAAGATAGAGGTCCCATCCCTGCTTAGCAGTGGGGTCACACTTTGCTATGTCGAGGGGCCCACAGGAGTCCAGCTTCTATGTACCATAGCCACCATGATGCCAAGTTTTGTTTGCCTAGGGAGAAAGGAGGCTGAGAGGCCCAGCTACGGTGCACAAGGAATGGCTTGGATGGAGGGCACCCTGACTGGGGGCAGCAGATTGTCCAGCCAGAGGGCATCCATATTCTTCAGATCTGTGAAGACACGGTGTAGGCTGAGCCCAATATCTCCTAGAAGATGAAGGAAGGTTATGTAAGGAGTGGGGTGGGGACATAAGGTGTGTTCCCCAGTCCACATCCACACAGCCCTGTCCCTAAGTCACAGACAGAGCTTCCACTGTCCACAAGGCAGCAGCAAGCACACACCATCTTTAGGTAAACCACAGGGGACAGGAACATAGCTACTTACCTTACTGTCTCCTGGCCCTGCTCCCAAGCCTTCCCCACCCACTGCATGAGTTTCCCTTCTCCAAGAAACCATAAGGATCCAGGGATTTCTTACCCGCAGGGCTGTCAACTTCCGGCTCCTCCTTGCAGGTGAAGTCTCCATAGATAGAGGTGGGCTGGGCCCCAGGTTCATTGAGAAGGTACCCCTTCCCATCCACGTTTGTCGGCTGCCAATCAGATTGCTCCAAGAGCTAGAGACAAAGCAAGAAGCATTCAGCAGCCTTCCCATGAAGATTCACCCTGTGGCCTGCCCTTGATAAGCCAAGGCTTCCCAACCAGGACCACACCCTTGAGCATTTTCACATTCTCTTATGGATGCTGATGTGCAGCAGTCAGAACCAGGCCCTGGATCTGGGAGGCACAAATGCACACAGGCCCTGCTCCTTGGGTCATTTTCCCACTCTTCTCACTCCTGCCCTCTGCAAGAGTATCTCTACCACTTCCCTCAACTGGGATTGAGGCTTAAAGCACAGCATAATAAGAAAAGATAACTAAAAAGCTAGAGAAAAGGAACTGGATCCACATCCCAGTTTTCTGTGCTAATGTGGCAGAGCCAGGGAAAAACTACCTCGAAAATGTTTTGTATTCATTTTTTTTTTTTAATATTTTATTTATTTTTAAGTTTTCGGTGGACACAACATCTTTGTTTGTATGTGGTGCTGAGGAGGATCGAACCTGGGCCGCACGCATGCCAGGCGAGCGCGCTACCGCTTGAGCCACATCCCCAGCCCCATTTGTATTCATTTTTAAAACTGAAGCAGAGAAAGAAAAAAAAAACTGGAGGATAATTTGTCTAAAAAAATTTTTTTAAAGCCATCATATTACAGATCCCAAAGGCTGATTATTGAAACCTGATGTGCATTTCCCAAACTAGCAGGGCTGGGCATGTTGGGGCTAAGGACACGGGCCAGGGACCTGGCACTGATAGTGGCTGATTCACAGCTCTGTCTGGGGCCCTCAAGTTTGCTTTAGGAAGGCTCACTGGAGACACAGCTTCCTACCAGCCTTCACGACCCAGCGTCTTTCCCAACCAAGAAGGGCAATGGTCCCCACCAAGTGGATATGCTGCTTGTGGGACTATGCAAGTAGTCAGGGGACAACAGCAGCTGCCCACCCTCTGATCTAGAAGCTCTGATTCTCTCTCTCCTCACCAAGAAATGTCCACTTCAAAAGAAAGCCAGGAAGGAAGGGGCTATACCTTCATGATGTCCTCAGGTAATTTCCCTTCCTCATCCTCGTCTGTTGCAGCTGTGGATGGGGAAGAGCAGAGATGCTGGATGGCAGTAGATCATATTGGCCCTGCAGTTCCAGTCCCTCCAGGGTCCCCTGTCCCTACACACACACATACCACTGGCCTCCCAGCAGACATCTGCCATGGACATTCCAGAACAAGACACTGGCTTGGTGACTCAGCCTCCTAAACTATGAAGTCACGCCTCTTCCCACCCCTTCACTTCCTTCCTCACTTTAAGGCATTGGGCTGCAGAGGAGCCAGGAGAACTAGCAACCTTAGATCAAGACACAGCCCCTGATCCCTTCCCTCTTCTCCCCAGCCCACCAAGGTACTGTAGTCCACTCTAAACTGCCTGCCTGGTATCCCAGGGGCTTGCTTCATGCCCATGGGAATTGGGAGTAGACAATGCCCAGCTCAATCAGCTCGGTGGCTGGTGGCCTTCTAAGCATCTTTTCTCCCTCAGAAAACCCTTCTCAGGACCCAAACAGTCAAGCAGACAGACCAGGCCCCAGCAATACAAACCTTCAGAGGTGGAGGGCATGGGTGACACCTGGAAGTTGTAGAGGTCACTGGTGCTGTCCGGCACAATTTCCACCGGGATGTGCCAATCAGGAAGAGTGCTACTGACAACACATGGTGATGGTGCTGGGGAGCAGCAGGAACCAAAGGTCAAGGATGTGTGCTTTGTTAGTTTGCAAGATACCAGGCACCCTGCACCCTTCAGCCTGGTCCAACAGGCCACCCTCTGCTACCAAGACAGCACAATGCCTCTTGGACCCAAGATAAAAAGCCATCCTCACCTGGAGTAAGTGCCTGCTCCAACTCCAGGTCCTGCCCCACATATCCCTGAGCTGTATAGCTGCTGTGGTCATCAGGCAGAGTGGAGCTGCTGAGTCCATCAGAGAAGGTGTCAGGGCTGGAGTCCCCACATGACTGTGGAGGGAGAAAGCAGCTTAGGCCCACTGTAGCACTCTCCACTGCTCACCCTCACCCACAGTGACAAAAGGCCCAGCTGCTGAGGACCATACTCACCTTTCTTTTGGCCTTGCTCTTAGTGTCTCGGCTGGACTTGGACTTTCTCTCTGTGGGGCAGACAGGCTGTCAACCTCGGCATAGGAATGCCAGCCCAGCTGGCCTTCTTCTTCCCTTCCTCCCAAGGGCTCCCCAAAGACCCAGAGCTCTTGGCTACCTTTTCTCTGGTTCTTGGTCAGGGGTGGAAGCATCCGGTATACCCGCACAGCCGAGCTGCCCTTGTTCCTGCTCTGGTCCTTCACCTCCTCGATGTCTGGCAAGGAGTTCATGGCACAGCGGAAGTTTGCCTTCCATGTCTTAGGATCTGGTTCCTTTTCTCCAGCTTTGTATCGGCCTAGAGAGCAAGAGGGTGAAATGGATCATCAGCTGCCCCTTGTCTGAGAAGAATAAGGCAAAAGTACTCCAGATGCCCACACTGGTGAAACCTTAGTGACCCTCTGCAGGCTCTAGACTCTGGGGCTTCTGGAAGATCCAAGCTTGGCTCAAACATCCAGCAAGCCTCGGTGAAGGGCCCAATCAGATGCATTAGAGTGCCCCTCCCCACAAAAATGTGCTGTGTCCTGGACCATGCCCAGATTCCCTGCTTGTGCTATCAGCAGCCAGAGAGAGGGTAGGGACTGGAGCTTATCTGATACTTCCAAACTAGGAGTGAGCACAGAGAGGCCAGCAAAGAACAGTTACTAATAGGTAGACTGACTATTCTAAGCTGGGCCAAGAGCCCCATCACTTTAAGATAAAAAGAGACCAATCATCAACCAGGTGGTCCTTGAGCCAAAGACCTTTTTTTCCCCTCGAAAAAAAGGAAGATATGGATCTCTTTTAGTGCCCTGGCTCACGACTTCTTTTTCAAGGGAGAACTTTAGCCACAAACTCCCTCAAGTAGTATTAATACTATTATTGCTTTCTAAGATTTTGGCTTTATAAATCCCTTTAAGAATTTGCTGAAACATCAATTTTCATCCTTCAGAAATATGGGTCTGCCCCTTGCCCCCCCACTAATAATTCTGTACACTATATCAGGGAGATCAGGGACATCAAAGATCAGGCCTTTGCATGAATATTTGAGCCTCCCCTTGTTTCTTCCCTAGCTCTCAGGGACACAGTCCCAGAGACACACCTGTGTGGATGGCCCAGCTCCGGAACAAACAGGCATCCTTGTTGATGTCCCAGCCATGTTTTGCAGCATGCTTCCATGGGATCTGGAAGATCATCTCCTCCTGAACAACACACACACAAATACACAGAGGCTGTGTCAGCTCAGAGACCACAGGCTTTGTGGCTGAGTATGCCCAGCCCCCCAGGTCTGGGAAAAAGCTGACTTCCCCTTTTCACCCCATCTGGTTTGGGTTGACCAGTCCTGAGACTGGCTTCAACAGGCCACTCTGGATCTCTTAGGAGGGGTTCTGATGGACTGTGGTACCAACAGCTCAGCAAAAACACCGCTATGCACATTACAGATATGCTGGGACCCACAGAGTCCTCTCCCCCACAGCACTGATCTGAATGCTCTGGCTGATTAGCACCAAAACAGAAGTAAAAATGGAAACTCTTCTATTAAATGGGTCTGCTGAGGACACCTGGGACAACTGGCTCCTACACAGGGGGTCCTGATCACACCCTTCAGGGAGTACTGGGCCAGACCTGAATGTGACTACCTGTGGCACCACAGTTTCCTCTCTCTGAAACAAGAAAATATACCTGAGGGTAAAAACCAGAGCATGTGTGGGGACACTGACAAATGAAGATTAAGGTCTTACTGTCATTATTACTGGTGGCTAGCTCTATGGATTTCTGAATCAGACTGTTCAGGTTCAAAGCTTGGTTTTATCACTTTTTATGTGATCTTATTATCAACTTCTCAGCACCTCAGTGTCCTTATTTGGACCATTCCTCACAGCACTACTGTGAGAATGAAACAGCACAAGTTAAGTAACATACTTAGCAAGGTGCAAGGTACATAGTAACTGCTGCTAGCCATTACTATTATGCATACTAATATTGCTATTACTACTATTATTGATACTAAGTCTACAGAGTCTATCTTGCCCCAAGTGTAGCAGTTAGTCTTCTTAGGTCAGAGTAACTGAAAAAGGTTAGTTCTTGGGTTCTCTGCTGAGACAACCACCTTCCTACCCAGCAGTACCCACCTCTCTGTTTCCTATCATCTGCCCAGCCAGAGCCCTGCAGAATGCTGTGTGTGTGGTAGGGGTATCCCTGGGAGGAGATAAGAACTCAAGCTCTGCAAATGCTGGGAGAGTCTGGCTGCTGGAAACTTCAGGTGCCTTTAAGAGGGTTACTGTCCACACCTTGAGAAGGGAAGAAGACAGGACTTGGGCAAAGAGGGCCCAGGCCTGGGCCTTGCACACCCACTGCAGAACCTACTGGGAAACACATCTGCCTGCCTCCTTATCATTTCCCTTTTTTGAGCTGCATCTGAAGCTTTGGTCCCCTGAAGAACATGGGTAACAACAGTAGCAGAAAAACCCAAGAAGTTACACTCACTTTATTAATCCAGATCAGCCCCGGAATTTGGTTGGAATTAATCTGCATCTCTAGCCACGGTCTCATGCGCATCCGAGTGATGGGCATGTTGGCTGTAAAGAGAAGACAGAAGGCTCCTGTTTTGGAGTCTATTGAACAATCCTGGTCACTACCTTGTTCCACCAGAGTTCACTTAATCTCCCCTATTTTCTCACCCAGATCTTTACTCTCTCCTGCCCTCAGATAACAGGACTTAACAAACATGGGAAAGGAAGCCTGCACTGGAATAAAACTGCTCTCCAAATTGTTTCAACATCTTGGGCAAAAACATCTGCTCCTTCTTTCATCCTGTCCCAGCCCTCTCAGAAGGAGGTGGGCGTACAAGTGAGGGCTTCAGGGCTTAAGTGCAGGAAAAGAGACCAAATACACAGATATCTTAAAACCAAAACTTTTCTCTCAAAACCCAAATTCTTTAAAAAAAATTCTTTAAAAAGGGAGGGTTCCCCCCACACCCCTATGCCAAGAAGAAATTTCCCTGATTTGAGTTGTCGCCATAAGCTGTGCACCTTCCCTAACGGGTATTCAGTCCCCAAGGATCCTGGACACCTTCTCACCCCGCCCCCCCCCCCACCCATTCTATGCCTGACAGCCACCCTGCCCACAATGCTGACGCCAGGACGCGCAATTCCTTTGGGCTTGGTTTCCCCTCCTCAAGAGAAGTGGCTCAAGGAACACCTGTGGCGCCGGCTCCTGCCACCCCCCCTGGTCCATGACCCCCCATATAAGTCCTGACCTCCTCCAGTCACTAAGGGCGGCAAGCCAGTCCCTGCCACCAGCACAGGCAGCCCGAAACCTGGGGCAAGGGCGCCAACCTGTGACAGGCAAAAGCCAGAGCCCAGGAACACAGGGCTCCTACGCGCGGGCAGACACTCGAGTTCCCTGACATGGCGTGTGGATGCGCGCGACCAATGTACCGGGCCACCTAGAGGCCCCTGGCAGCTCCGCGCACGCAGATCTGCGAAAGCGGCCGGGCGCAGGCAACCTCGGCCAGTGGGCGGTCCACGCCGCGGCCCGCCCTCTCCGCTCTGCCGCTCGCAGCTCCTCCAGCGCCCTCCCGAGCCCGCGCCGGGCCCGGGCAACGCCGCGCGCCCGCGACTCTCCGGGTTGGGGTTTTTGGCCCCCACTTCCTGGTGTCCCGCGCGCCTTTTGTTCGACGCCGCAGGTCCCCCAGCCGCGAAGGCGAGCTCACCTCTGCAGCAAGAGCGATCCGCCGGCGGCGCCCGAGGTTCCCGACCAGGCGGGGACTGCTGTGCGGACCCGCGAAGCGGAGATAAGGCAGAGGATGCCCGGGTCTTGGGTCCACTGGGCACGGCTGGCCTTGGCTGGGCACTGCTCCTGCTGGCCTCGGCTCTGCAGGCTAGGGCACACGTCCTGCCTCGACGAAGGAGTGGCGCGCTCTGCCGAGGCCGCGGCGCCGCGGAGAAATCTAAACACTTAGCGGGATTCCCCCAACCCAGGCCGGGCTCCGCCTCCTTGGCGCCGCGCGGGCGCCCATTGGCCGGCACCGCCTCATCATTTCGGGGAAATCAGGCTGTTGTAGAGCTAAGCTGCGAAGGGGAAGTACAGGGCGGCTGCTCCTCCCCACCCCCTCCGGCCGGCGCCGCCGCCCCAGGGCCACTGCGGGCCCGCCCCGCGCACTCCCACTCCACCCCCACTCCGGCTTGCCCCGGAGGAAGGCTGTCCTTGGAAAATCGAGTGACCCCAGCCCACGGTCATTCCCCTCGTTCCGCATTCGCTCAGCCTGGGGGCTTCTGTGGCCCTCTCCTCGCCCACCTCTCTGGAGACATCTAGCTCCCCAGCGCAGGTGAGGGGATCACCTGGGCACCTGCTGCCCTCTTCAGAAAGGACGCCAGAACTGAATCCCCGAAAACCATTATGGCTCCCCAAGCCCATGAATGTGTGTCAAGAAGGCAGGGTTTTAGCCCTCCCAGCGTCTCTGTCTTGAGAGATTGACATCGCCCCCTCTAGGTCGCTCACCTGCTTTCGGGGAGTTACAGGCAGTAAGCCTACTCTGCCTGAGGTGCTGCATAGGCTTCTGATGAGAGGAAATCACAACCTGGCACCTACTGGCGCAACTAACCCAGGACTCAGTTTCCTCAACTACGACATGATAACAGTCCTACCTTGCTGGTTTGCAGTGATGCGGGGAAACGATATTTGTAAAGTGCTTGCCCCATTCTGGCACCAGATACTGCTGTTTTGAAGGTTCCTGCCCCCAGAGTCTAATAATGAACAAAATGACACCTTCCCCCTTTGCATCTTTGGAATTGCCTTAGAGAAAGGGAATAGGAGAAGGGATTCATAGAAGCAACTGTGATCCCTCCTAGCACTCCTGCCTCAGGCCATTTTGCTCTGGACCTTGCAAAGGAGCTCTGAAAAGGCAGCATTGATGTCTTCTTTGGGTCCCCAAGACTTGACCCTGGAGATGCTGGGCAGTATGGAGAAATTACACAAGGTTGGCCAAGGCAATAGGTCTAGCCCATGGTCCCATGCCTCTTGATAAGGGCAATAACTCCTGTACTCACAACTAGAACCTTGCCCCATTTGTATTCCTATAGACTGAGCTAGGTGCTAATTTTCCATACAGAACTTTCTTCACCTTCCCAAAGCTGCTGACTCAGAAGTAAACAGTTCTTTCAGGTGTGTCATTCCCTTCAGCGTGGCTCTCCTTCTAGGGCAGCACCTAGTTGCAGTGATGCGGTGTTGAGAGCCACAGCCGAGTTGGGATGGCGCCTAGCATTTTGCCAGAAGGAGTGACACCAGCGAGCCATTAAGATGATGATAATTAAGTTAAGCTGTGTATAATTGCTGTGACTGGATGATGCTGGATTGAAACAGGCTGTGTATTCAGTGGTATATAGACCCCTGCTGTCCAGCAATAGGGCGGCTCCTGCTGCCTTGGGCACCGCTACTTTTGAGTTCTCCCAGAGTTCCCTTTGAGTTCCGGTTGAGCTCTCCCAGGGATTCCTGGAGAGTAAGCGTTGGTTGGAAAAGTTGCGGTGGAGGGAGGTCGGGTTGGTGTGGAGTTCCTGGAAGGACCGCGTGGGTGGCCTTCACGTGAGTTCGGAAATAAAGTTTGTTCCTGCTTGAGTGGCTCCTGATTTGTGCCCAGACAGACTGCGGCAATGCAGCTATAAACAGACACATCAATGCAGCATCCCACCTGTCAATCACTCTACTCTCTCCCTTCCACAGATGAGATGGATGGATTAATTCAATTCTGGTAAGACTAGAATTTGAGTGCTTTGACTAATGCAAAGCCTAGTTCCTGGGAGACCAGCAGGAATGGGTCAGAGCTGTCTCCTAGATAGTGGCGGGTCAGGAGCTAGGAAAGGCAAGGGGGCAGCAGGACCTTCCAGGAAGGAGTCTAGCAGGGTGTGAAGTCAAATGGAAGGCACTGAGGCACTGGAATGGGGAGGTGGATTTGGGTGCTATAAGTGACAATAGGAGTGAGAACCTGTTCCGGGAACCAAGACCTTCCAAGCAAGAAAAGCAGAAAATAAGTGACTCCTGAGTCATGACATCCATTCTTTATGAAGTAGATAGATGCTTGTCCCATCCTTGAGAACCTTGTATAGTGCCCTTGAATAGAAAATTCAGAATGAGATTAGGGAGAGAAACTTTGCATCTCTTTAGCCTCAGGAATTGACAACAGAGACCTCATGAAGGCAACAGGAGACTAAAAAGTGCTTTAAAACAAAAATTTTGTATTAGTTCACCTGTATGTGCATATATATACATAATGACCACCTTTCCATGTTATAAATGTACATCCACAATATTATTTGAAATGGGTGCATATTTTCTATCATAAGGATAAATAAAAATTTACCCAATTAATCCCCTATTGTAGGACATTTAGGTTATTTCCATTTTTTCATAATACAAACAACACTGTTAGCAAAATCTTTGCACACATCAATAATTTTTTGCTTAGGAGAAATTCCCCAGTGTTAGGATTTACCAATGAAACTGTCACTTACATCTTTAAAGCGTTCTTTGGCTTTTTTTTTTTTTTTTAACTTTTAGCTTTAGGGATTCTTATTTCATTTTGAAACCTGTAAGAATCTGCTTATCATGATTGGAGATGCTATGAGCTAGCTAACCCCTGTTTAAGTACCCAAAGTTTTTATTATAAATGGTTTCAATTAATCCTCTACAAGAGAATTCCCTGTGATGCTATGTCGAACACATGGTGTCCCATAAGTTCTTAGTAATTCAGGGTGGGCTCTCTTCCCTCAGACTCAAAGTACTAATCATCTCTAATCCAACCATCTTCTCTAAGTAGATGTCCTCCAAGCCCAAGCTGCTCTGGTTGCCCAGTGGACATCCCCCTACAATTCTATTCACATACACACACCTCTCCATCCTCCCTGGTGAAATCTTTCCCATCTTTTTTACCTCAACTAGTCCTCTGGGTCTTCCTTTGATGCATCAGGTTATGATTTCACATTCCAGGACCAGGTTGCTGCTACATCTTCCCTGGGGTCCTCCCTCCCTATTAGGCCTGCCTCGGAAAATAGGGAAGAAAATGTCTTTCACTGCAATGTCACACTAATTTTGAGGATCTCCCTAACATTTGAGTCCACTCAGGAGCCTTCTGAGCTCCCTCACTTGTCTCAGTCCCACATTCAAATCTCTGCTCAACCTTGTTCAGGGGGTCCCATTCTGACTTCTCTCCTCAACAAACAGTTCCTCTAATATATGTGTGTGTGTGTGTGTGTGTGTGTGTGTGTGTGTGTGTATATATATATATATATATATATATATATATATAGCTAAGGATCAAACTCAGTGACTCATATGTGTTAGGCAAATGCTGTACCACTGAACCCAACCCCAGTTCTCCCATTTCTGATAGTAACTAGAGGAATGTAGAAAGAATTCAGAATTTGAGTCTGAAGCTGCATTCTTGTGCTTTTCTCACTTGCTGTGAAATCTTATAAAGTTAGTGTCCCTCTCTGGGCCTCAGTTTTCTCATCTGTAAAGATAATCTCTGCCCATCTCACCTAATCATTGTGAAGGTTGTTAAACAAAATGATGAGATGCCCTTGTTTTGGAGTGAGCTCCTCTACTAGGCTTCAACACAACCAGACCTAGCCAAAATGGAGTCACTTATGCTAAGTACCACATAATCTTTTAAGGGAACAGATAGATTCCAAACCAGACCAAGTTTTCCTGAAAGCAAGAGATTCTAATCTATCTGAGTCAACATAATAAGTAAGTCCCCTCTGCTTTAATACTTGTTTAAAAACAAAACAAAACAAAGTAATCTGAAGTATTCTGATGTTAACCAATCGGGATTTGGGGTTGGGATTCTATTTTTCCCCCTTGTTCCTGCCTCATATACCCCAGTGTTCTGCTATTGATGGAGGCTGCCTGATTCATGAATTGTGAATAAAAGCCACTTAGATCTATAGCTAAATTTGTTATCCTTTGTTCATTCTTTGACAAGATGAAATTATGTAGACTATCAAAATCATTTTCAAACTGTAAAATATTAATCAAATGTAATGTATTCATAAACCTTTCACTGCACATCGAACACTTTATATTCTTCCCCTCATACCTCCTTCCATTTTCTCATCTCTCTGTTCCCTGATTCTTAGCAACACTGACTTCTCTTCCCTTCCCTCTCCACACACTTCAGTTTCTCTCTCTCTCTCTCTCTCTCTCTCTCCCCCCCCCTCTCTGTCTCTCTCTCCTTTTTTTTGGGGGGGGGGGGTAACGGGGATGGAACCCAGGAGTGCTTAACCACTGAGCCACATCCTCAGCCTTTTTTTTATATTTTATTTAGAGATAGGGTCTCACTGAGTTGCTTAGGGCCTCGCTAAATTGATGATGCTGGCTTTTTTCCCCCCCCTTTTAAATGTTTATTTATTTATTTTTTAGTTTTTAGTTTTCGGCGGACACAACATCTTTGTTTGTATGTGGTGCTGAGGATCGAACCCGGGCCGCACGCATGCCAGGCAAGCACGCTACCGCTTGAGCCACATCCCCAGCCCCGATGATGCTGGCTTTGAACTGGAGATTCTCATGCCTCAGCCTCCGAGTTGCTGGAATTACAGACATATGCCACTGTGTCTGGCTAATTTCTGTCCCAGAGCAAAAGCTTGGTTTCAATGAAGTGCTCCCAAAGTGGCCAACCAGAAGTCCTCCCTGCTTAGAACTCCTTAGCCTTTGACTTTCACGTGTTTCTTTTCACCACTTACTACCTTGTGAGAGGTGACTTTCTGGGAAACAAAAATCTGCTTTTTTATTTTTATTTTTCCTGTAAAAGACCTGAGCAGGTTCCTCAAAACCTGCAGCTAGAGTTAGCTGGCAGTCACCTGAGACTGACTATGCACCCTGCTCTGGGATACTACTTCACTCCCAGGATGCCTATCATCCATACCCTCACTCAGGGAAGG